AGGTATAAGTGTTAAGTAGTCCTCCCTTACTCATGGTTGTGCTTTCCATAATTTCTATTACCTACAAGTGTGGCCTGAAAATATTAAATAGAAAATTTCAGAAACAAACAGTTAATAAGTTGTAATGCATGTGGCCTTCTGAGTGGCGTGATGAGACCTCCTGCTGTCCCCTTTGTCCTTTCCATCTTCCCTTGGCCCAGCTTCTCCACTCTGTAGATGCTCCCTGCCTATTAGTCAGTTAGTAGCCTCTCATTTATCACATCAACTGTTCTGGTATCTCAGTGCTTGTGTTCAAGTGACCCTTATTTTACTTAATAATGACCCCAAGGTGCAAGAGTAGTGATGCTGGCAATTTGATGCTGGCAAAGAGAAGTTTTAAAGTGCTTCTTTTCAGTGAAAAGGTGGAAGTTCTTGACTTGAAAGGGGAAAAAAATTGTACTGCTGAGGTCGCTAGGATCTATGGTAAGAATGACTTTTTTATTCATGAAATTGTGAAGAAGGGAAAAAAACATACTACTAGTTTTTCTGTTGCACCTCTAAATGGCAAACATTATGATCACAGACAGGGCATGAGAAGTGCCTCTTTAAGATGGAAAAGGAACTAAATTTGTGGGTGGAAATGTTTATGGACATTTTTCAGAAATAAATTTTTTGAAAGAATACATTAACATATCTTTTATTACAGTATATTGTTATAATTATTCTAGTTTATTATTAGTTATTGTAATCTTTTACTGTGTCTAATTTATAAATTAAACTTTAGCACATGCATAGGGAAAAACAGTATATATAGATTGTTGTGCTCCTTGAGGTTTCAGGCAGCCATTGGGGGTCTTGGAACGATCCCCTACAAATAAGGGATCACAGCTCTGCAAAAAAAAAAAAAGTAAACATTTTCATATATTGAATTTTAAAAACAATTTAGCCTTTGGTGTGAGCCTTTTTGGGAGGGGATCTAACCTAAATGAATAAGATATATAGAAAACATGAATAATACACTCAACTTTTTCTAAAAACTGCACTTATAAAAAAGACCGATGGCACAATATAGACCATAAGGATATTTCAGGCATTAGTATTTAAAAATAATGCCACAAGTTTCTATAACCCGGCCTACACAAAAGAACACATCTTATAGAGAAAGATTCATGTAGAGGATTCTAAAATCTTTTCTTTTCATTACTCATGTGGAATAGCTATAAAAAATATGACAGTATAAATTAAATGAATATTGCACATCAGTAATAGAAAATATATGAAGGTCAAATGTCATAAAATATGATATCTTAGACATGTTGATTGTGCTGTATTTCTTTTTATAATATAACATTTTCATTGCACTTGGGAATTGAAGTGTTCTGGTAAAAGAAATGGGATGTGTCCTTTAATAGTCTCACAGGGTGTAGGTATATTAAAGAAAACTATGTTCTTTGTGAGACCCACAGAATAATTTGTTCTGACTCAATATTAAATATGTTATCAAAGTTTTATTTACTTAGTAGATTCTTAATCTGTTTTATTTTTGAGGAGTTCATTTTAGATAGATTAATCACATGAAACAAAAGTGTTAAGGCAAAGATTTTTATGTTATATTTTTGCAAAAGCTGTCTTATTTTCCTTAAAGCAAGATAATTTAAATAAATGGGTATACGTATGTGAATACGCACATACACACACACATACGTATTTGAAATTCTTCAGTGTACATGTTATCAATGCTTATTTGTGTGGTAATTTTCCTGAAATATTTTGGATTTTGTCACATCAAGTGGATCCATCTACCTTTGACCCAGATACTACTCTCCTGGAATGCAGAATTTAGTGAAAATTTATAAATGTGTAATGAGTTCAAAGTGGTAGTAAGGATGTCAGGCAGCTATCTATAATAATGAAGAGTTAATATCTATATCTGCATTATATTTTAATTGATGGCTCTGTCTGATATTTGAAAAGCGTTAAATTGCTGATGTACATGTGATGAAATGCCTATTGTCAGGGTAGAAATGAAAACTCTGCCTCATAATTACAGTTGGTTTTTAAGTGATTTGTAGAGAAATGACTTTGAATGTTTGTATTAGAGGTCAGAATTAGAGATCTCATATTTTAGTAGTAGCTTCTATGAGTCAAGTCTTCCAACAACATAAACTATGTTCTATAATTAAATCTTTGAAAAAGCTTTTGAGAAAGAGACTTTGATTCATTAAAATGAGAGGAAAAAAATCTAGAAAACCACAAAGCGACAGTGTTTAAGTAAATTAATCAATAATCCATGAACTGAACAGTTAAAGAAGTAAATATTATAATATTGTGTCAAGATAGCAGGAATTTATTGATGTTTTAGCAAAACAGGAAAAAATTGACTAGTACTAAGAAATTGCACTATTTTATAATGTATGTTAAAATAATTTGAGTTTCAGGGTATTCAAGTATTTAAAAGTTTGGCACCAACTTTTCAGTCTTATATTTTTATAAAACTGCAGTTGCCTTTAGAAGCGTGTACCCAAATATCACTTTCTCAGTCTTAACAGAATCACTCAATTTTGGAACTGTTTCTACTTCTGGAATATGACAGGGTTTGAATCATAAATTTCAGAGAGTCTTTAGTTCTACTTCCTTCAGGTTTCCTCTATCCCCTAGTTTCTTCTTCCTCTTCCCCTCTTTCTCCTCCTCCTTTTCCTTCTCCACCAAGTATGATTTGGATTCTTCAACCATCAGTTATTCCAGCATCTCCTAACCAATCTGAATAAGTATCACTAATTCCATATATTAGTCCCTTTCTCTACTTATCTTGATGTGACCAAAGACAGAATTCAAATGCCGCACTTTCTTGAATCATTTTGGAAACTAGGCCAAGCAGAAGGGAAGCAGGGCAGGAAAAGGAGAAGGATGCAGAAAGGGTCTGCAGACTCATTCCTGAGGCTGTTCTCTCATAGAGAGCACCAAATAAATACATGCATGATAACAGCTGGCATGTCATGCCGTGTTTTTAAGAAATATTTTAGTCTCTACATATAGACTGTGTTAGAAAAGCAAACAAGCCAATAACTATTATATGTGTATGTGTGGGTATACACGATTATTAGGCCATATCCTTTTCTCTACAATGTCTTGCAGAATTATATAATTTCTTCTGTATTATTGAACTTATTTCTTATAACAGTTCTTGACAGTTCTTCCTGCTCTACTATTAGAAATGTTTCTTTTGACCCATGAAGCATTCAGTGGATGTGTTAGGCTCACTCTTTCAGTTAATCCTAATGACAGCACTGTGAGGTTTATATTACTATTATGCCCACTTCATAGATGAATACTTCTGAGTTGCAGAGAATTAAGCCATTTGTCCAAAATCACATTCCTTACCTTTTTCCCTAAATTTCTGGCCCATGTGCTGCATCTTTAGCCACATCATACTACTCCGGGTTTTTCAGATGGTCCACATACCATGCATTCTCATGCTTCTGCATGCTTACAGATTTCCCCTGCTGGGAAGCCCTCCACTCACATGGCTGGTCTATTTTAGTTAACTCTTTCTCTTTTGTCAAAAGTAACTTAGAGGTCATTTGGGGAATCCTTTCCCATTTTCTCTATATAATCAATCATCCTGGGTTCCCCCCTTACATTTTTAAAATGTTGACTTACTTGTGTATTAATATATTAATATCTCCGATTGGGTTATTCCCTTCCTGCGGAATAGAGGCCTAGCCCTGTGCCTGCCATGCATTAGATTCTCATCTTATTGACTCAATTTCAGGTAAGTGCAGGTCCTAGTTTATAGGGTAGTAGAGGAGAATTTAGTCAGAATTACAATTGCAATTTTGTAAAGTTTAATATTTGATTATATTTGAACTTTTAAAAACATTCAGAACTTTTTAATTCATATGAGCTTCTGCCAGCAAGGATTGGAGCTGTGCATAGTGCCACTAACTTTTATGAAGTCCCTGTTTGTATTTTTTTCATTAAAGTTCATTTGTCAACAACGGGCTATTAGGCAATTGACTAATCAGTTGTCAGGTGAGCTCTGTTCTTTACCCACAGTGGGGCCCATAGAAAAGTCATAAAACATAGTGAGGGACCTTAAATTCCAGCTGGGGTGACATATCTAATACACTGAAAATTTAGTTATAAATACTCTTAATCTGCAACCATAAGACACCAGTGGGTTACTGAATACAGACTGAAGACCACTTGTAGTTAATTAGCCTAGTTATCCTAATACCACACTGCAGGATACAACAAACAGTCATCCAAAACTGTGTAGGGGAGAAAAACCTCCATCTGCCATTCCTATAGCAAGGTTATGAAACCAAACTCTCCTACCCTTCAAAAAGGCTTCTTTTTTTTGGATGGATGCCAGCCCAGATTTTTATTTAAAGTTGAATGAGTGAGGCTAATTCATATCACTAATTCCATGAAATATCTTGGTCTTCTGTGGTAGCCTAACATTTTTCCAGTGCTTTTGATTTATCATGACTATGTAATGTACCATATCTTGCTTCTTGTATTTCCGAGTTCCTACTTCATTTAGTTGTTCTGCCTACTCTTACTCTGAATTTGTTTTTAAAATTAGCTCTGGCAATGTAAATCATCCTAAGATCTTTTATGTTTTCCCCTTAACCTACCAAATAGTAGTTTTATTGCTTCTGCCCTTTTTTCCCCTTAAAAGTGATTTCAAAACTTAAATTTTGCCTTCATTGTAATGTATTTTCCTTAATGCAACTGTGCATTTGCAACATATTCTCCCGAGCTTCAAAGGTTAATAGTGTGTGCATGCATTTCGAGTTCTCATAAGTTTTTCCAACAAGTATCTTCTTTTATTTTTTTGCCTTCTTTTCCTATAGTAACATCAATAGAAAAATATAAATAACTAACATATGTGATTTTTCTATAGGGGCAATGCATTTCTGTTGATTATAATCACTAAAATTTTATGGTTTGTCATTTTGTTTTCACGATGAGGGTGTTCTTTATTTTGAGAAACTCTACTTCTCTTATTTTCACAGGTAAAAAGATGGCCTATCAAAAGGTCAATGCAGATCAAAGAGCTCCAGGACATTCACAGTACTTAGACAATGATGACCTTCAAGCCACTGCCCTTGACTTAGAGTGGGACATGGAAAAGGAACTGGAAGAGCCTGGTTTTGACCAGTTCCAGCTAGATAGTGCTGAGAATCAGAACCTGGAGAACTCAGAGACTGCAGACCTCAATCTTGATTCCATTCAACCATCAACTTCACCCAAAGGGAGGTTCCAGCGACTTCAAGAAGAGACTGACTATGCTACCCGTTATACAAGATCTGCACCAAAGAGCAACCATGGCAACTTTTGCCGCCTTTTAAAAGTACTTTGTACAGCCATCATTTTATTTATTTTTGGAATTTTGATAGGCTATTATGCACATAAGAATTGTCCTCCAAATGTTCCTTCTTCAGAAACACTTGATCATCAGTTATACCAAGAGATTCTCAAGACAATTCAAGCAGAAGATATTAAGAAAACTTTCAGGTATGTATAGAAAAAAAAATGGATGTTGGTGGGTGTTATCTGAGAAAGATGTTTCAGTGAGTATTGAACAGGTAATTTTGCTGCGGTTTAAGGGTAATCTTGAAAGTTGAGAGACATAATTTACAAGCACATTCTTCACAGAGGGGGTGCACGTTTTCAGATTTATGATATTGTAATACAAATTTATGATGCTGTTTTATTAATTTATAATAAGAACAATGACTACTATGAAAACTAAAAGGCTTGAGCCAGTGCATTTTTTCCATTTTGGGAAGCCCAAGTAGACCAAATTGAGATGCAAAGACTGCTAGATATTCATGTAATAAAAACTAAGGTATTAGCCCTATGATTGAATTTTTAATGACCTCAGAATAAAGTAAACCTGATTTATGGGCAGAAATAACTGCCCCTTATGGTCAAAGCACTGGTAGTATTTGGTCTCCTGCATCCCTGAGATTCCCAATGAGCACATTTGTATCGAAACACATTGGGTCCTAGATACCAGGCAATTCTAAAAACTCATCTCTCTCTTTCAGTTAAGTTTGCAGATGACTTGCCTCATCATAATGTATTGATTTTTAAGTAAATGACAAGAAATATTATTTATTAGGCCTTAATCTGAGTTATTGGCAAAATCTTCATTGATGTCACAGAATCTGGTAAAATGAAAATTTTGTTGTTTCATGTATTACTGTCATATGTGTTGAAAAAGATTCCTTAGTTTACCTATTTAGTGAGGTGAGGAACTGGAAGGGGATGATTAGATATTGGTTTCTATACATATTTTCTGTGTTTGCTGAAAAAAGACCATCTAGGTGAATCATACAGATGATATTTATAGGTAGATGAAAAAGAGGATTACTGCTTTCCAAGTGTATTCTTTCTTGGTTATACTGACTTATTATAGCCAAGATGTTGGCATGTGTTCATTTCTAGGCATTGTCTAGGGAGCATGTCCACTGAAAATGCATTGTTTAATCTATATGCTGAAATACCACTTGTATTGATGTTGGTGAATTATAATTCTCTTCCAGAAGATCACATCTGAGTTTCTAATGGGAATTTGTTTCCTACACACTTCTGTGTCTGATATTCACTATTGTATAAGCTTCCCTTACCATGTAATATGCACATAATAACACTTCCCATGGTATTTCCTAATGTAAAATTGTTTATATTGAATTGAGCTGAAAGATAGCCATTGTCATATAATGAGAGATTCTATCAATCAGGATCCAACCAGGACAACAGAAAACTAACTGAATATGTAAAGTAGAGGGAATTGAAGTAGGATAATTATTCTATCAGTGATGAAAAACTGAGGAGCTAATCTGGGGACACTGAGGTAGCCCAGAGATTAACAACAAAATGAAGCCAGTACTAATCCAAGGCTGGAGGGAGAAAAGATTTAGAGCAACTTGGTAGAAATTGGAATAATCTGCATACACAAGTGTAATCATGTGTGTGTTGGGTGGGGCATAGTATGTAGCCTCAGTCAGAGACACCACCGAAGACAGAGAGAGAATAAGAAGTACCACAGCTTGTCCCATTCTTCTGCCCCACCATGTCCCACCAGTTGTCCCATTGGCTAAACCCAGCAGGAAGGCTGCTAACTTAGCCTGTGGAGCTCATCCTGGAGGGCTCAGCTTACTGGGAAGGGGATCTGTATAAAATAGGGCACAGACGGGGTGTGTGTGTGTGTGTCTGTGTGTGTGAGAGAGAGAGACAGAGAGAGAGAGAAGGAAAAGAGAAAAGGACTCTATAAATCTGTGTCAACTGTAACTTCGTTGTGAACATTCGTTATACTACAAAAAAGTATCTTCTAGAAAAGGATCTGTGGGTTTAATGTCTCCTTAATTTTAAGAGTAATTACATTTTTTCCCCGAGCAACTTCTTAGTTTTTAATTTATGGATACAATGATTCTCATAACCTAGCCTGCTTCCCTTTTACTGTGGCTTTTAGGAATTTCAGAGCCAAATTTGTATTGAAATAATAAGCAACTTAAAAGCATGCATTTCATGTACTAACTAGCCTACATCTTTATTTTCACTCCTTCTATGCCTTGGCTTTTTTGCCTTACTTATTTTTTTCACCATTATAGGCATCTTTAAAAATTGACTTATGTCCTCTTTTCTCATAGAAAGTTGGTTTTAAATTCAAAATGTATAATTAAATTAAAAATTCATTATTTTCCCCAGATTAGGAGTTCTTTGACAGTAAGGCTTGTATGCTCCTCTTAAACTCAAACATCAACAAAATATGTATATTTCAAAGCTAGCTACAGAAACATAACCACCAACTGTTGTACTTCTGGGCAGTATTTAGTAGTTGGACACACATTCAAAATTATGCTCTGTCTAATAGCCAGTTTTTTCCTATTGAAATAATAGATTTTTCCCCTCAAAAAATAATATGTTTGGTACAAATATGTTTACAGTAACTTTCTCCAAAAAACATTTCCTCACCCAAAAACAATTACTCCCAAATAGTCATGATAAACACACGCCTAACTATGAATTCCTGCATTTACTAAGTCATCATAACATTAACTGTGTACATAGCAGGTTCCTACTGTTATTTTTCACCAGTTTGTGATCAGTTTTGGCTCTCACTGGCCCACTGTTTCGTTCTTCAATTGCTATCCTTATTTTATTGGATCTCCATTTCTGCCCATGCTCTAAAGTTATGTTAGTTCTTACAAAATATCCTAAGAGCTGTGAAATATAAAGTATATACTTTATAGTATATTAGATTACAGATTACATGAGGGACTGGATCAAATTCCACCATTAGACTTCTACTGTCTAGTATACATTAAATAAGTATTTTTCTAAGGGAGGAAATAAATTTGTAGATAAATGAGAAACATACCTGTGTTTAAATGCTCACTTATGTTATAAATTTGAAAATTATGTTGCTTACTATTTTGATTTTTTATATAATTATATTCAAAATATTATGAATATAATTCTTATTCATAATATAATTATAAAATAATATTTTCTATTATACAAGTATATGATAACCAGAGGATGTGCAATGTCCTATTTTTAAGTAACTGAAAACTCATATAAAACCAGATACTGTAAAAATATTAAAGTATCCCTATTGATGCTTTAGTTGAAGACAATGGATGATAATTTCAAATTAGGTTCAGCCTGCAGAACTTGAATAAAAAAAGAAAGGAGAGAACCCTGAGGTAATCACTCAGTTGTAACCTATGACAGATAGGAGAAGCTAAAAAACAGAGTGAAAAAAGAGGATTTTTTGGAGAGATCTCCTAGTGGTGTTATAAATCTCAATCTTTTCTCAAGGAGGAAAACCCTAAAGTCCTGTAGAAAAAAGGTTTAGCAGAACTACTTGGAAGAACTTGATATTGCTACACAAGGTGTTTAACTCCCACTTGAGAACTCTAAGTGGTAAGACTTGGACTGGCTAGTTGCTGATGGAAATTCAGCTAACAGCTCCTACTAGATTCAGAGAGCATCACCCTAGTTCATGAGAGTATCAAATGAGAACATTGTGCTCCCATTTTGTCTATTCTGTTTCAGCCCTGGCAGCATCGGGAGCTCTGAGGCAGGAGGGGTAGAAGCACAAAGCAAAGAAAAAGCTGATTCCTTTTCCTTATTTGACTCCAGTGTTCCCTATCTAGAGATAATCAAACAGTGAGAGACAGTTCAAAGTTCTGACTCTTAAATGACACTGATCACTTTAATCACTCACTGGAGGAACATGAGTCACTTAACAGTGACCAGGATTACCAGAGTTTGTTATTCAGGAATAGGAAAAAAAACTAGCTACAATGAATAAATGTGAATTGGAGAAAAAAAAATGCTTGCTAAATATAGGGGTTATACATGTGGGGGGGGTTTAATGTGTAATAATTTAGAAAAGAACATACTCAGAGAATTATTGGTAGACACATTGACTGCTTATTGCAGTTTAAAAACCTCATTATCCCATAATAAAACTCACATAATTGGCTAAAGTGAAACAAGTATTTGGTATCATGTTGACCAAATAAAAGAAAGTAAAGCAGAAGTTTAGTTTTACTTGACAGTATTCATAGGCATGGTTGGGATTAATGTAGGAATATGAAGATGATGTAGTGTATGTGTAAGTGTGTATGTTAATCAATTGTCTAATAAGATTCTCTTGATCACTTCTTTCTATGCAACTTCGTTGCTATTTGAAAAATGCATTCAGTCCTTTACATGAATGGTTTACTGCTTCCATGTGTCTTCTGTGTAAGCTGATAGTGTATACAGTATCCAGATATATATCCAATATATCCCATTCTTCTTGATGCATTTTTGAATGCATCAGATTCAAAAGCAGCTTTATTTAATGTATTCTTTTGATGCCTTTGTAGAACAACTGCTTAATAATCTATGTTCATTATAAGCTTCAAAACAGGAAGGCAGGCTTACACAATAATCTATGAATAACAGTAATTAATCTGATTGGGTTTTAAGATACAGCATCTGATTCCGATCAGCCTCAGGGACCTTTGAAACCATAGTCCTCTGATTTTCGTAAGTGACGAACCACCACCGTGACTTACCTCCCTCTCCATCTGCACTGCTTTTTGTTTGCCTTGTTGTTTCTCTTTCCGATACCAGCTGCTATATGTTGGACCCAATACATTCTTCTTCCAATTCCTATTCCCAATAAAGAAATATGATTATTATCCTTTGAGGGGCCAGGAATATTTGTGACTCTGTCAAGTGCTTATCCCTAGTCTGAACAGCTTTGGCCAATTGGGATACTGGTCACCTTGTGTAAAACAGATTTAACTAAGGCTGTAGAGAGAGTTCTTTAACTTAAAAGAAATTAAATGTGACAGGTAACATGTTTTATTTCTATTATATGATGAAGCCACCAAGACTTTATATGTTAAATGAATGACACACATGTGTGTATATATGTATATGTGCGTGTATGTGTGTATGTGTATATATACACGCTAAAGACCATAAGCACACTTTTTGAAAAGGAA